TGTTTTTACATTAAAAAAAAAAAGACAAATACTATAGAATTGTATTACATAAAACATATAGAATATACAAATTCATAGAGACAGAAAGATTAGATGTTACCTCAAAATGGAGAAGAAAGGAATATAGAGCAATGATTTCCTAAGTATAGTTGTTTTGTGTGATGGAAAAGCCCCACAAACGGACAGTAGTATCAGGATATAATATCATGAATGTAATAAATCAATACAATTAATGTAATAATGAATATCATAAATACAGTTATTGAATGAATACTGCGAATGTAATAAAAGAATACCATAAATGTAATTAATATCATGAGTGTAATTAATGAATTTCATGAGTGCAATTAAAATCTTGAATGCAATTCATGCTACTGAATTGTGAACTTAAAAGTGGTTACAATTGCAAATATTATGTTCATTTAAAAATATAAGGTGGTTTCAAACAGCTAACTCATGCAACCACCTTATATTTTTAAGTGAACATAATTATGCAGGGACGCTTGGCTCAGTTTGGGAGGAGGGGACTGGACCTGCCTGGACTGAGTCTATCAGGTTGATCCCAGTCCTCGGGGGAGACCTTGATCTGGAGGAGGTGGGAAGGGGGGGGGGGGGGGGGGGAGGGGGGGGGGGCTGGAAGGGGGAGAACAAGGGAATCTGTGGCTATTATGTAGAACTGAATAGTACTGTAAAATAAAAAAAAAATAAGCCGGGCGGTGGTGGCGCACGCCTTTAATCCCAGCACTCGGGAGGCAGAGCCAGGCGGATCTCTGTGAGTTCGAGGCCAGCCTGGGCTACCAAGTGAGCTCCAGGAAAGGCGCAAAGCTACACAGAGAAACCCTGTCTTGAAAAACCAAAAAAAAAAAAAAAATTAAATTAAAAAAATAAAAAAAAATAAAAAAAAATAAGGTGGAATGTAATCACCAAAATTAATTAATTAATTAATTTAAAAAAAAAAAAAAGAACTTGAGGGAGCACAGAATGCCTGGATTCTGTCTCACCACCCACATGACAGCTCACAGCTAATTCTGTGTATCTCAAGTTCTGGGCGATAAGCTGCCCTCTTCTGACCTCCATGAGCACCAGGCACACACATAGTACACATACATATAGGCAAAACACTCATAGGCCTGGAATAGAAATAAAATGTTTAAACATCTTTAAAAACCAAAAACTTGGCTGGGGATGTAGCTGTTAGTCGACTGTTTTTCTAGCATGTAAGTCCTTGATTTGATGCCCAGCACTATGCAAGCGGGCGTGGTAACACATGCCCATAAGCCCAGCACTTGGAAGGTGGAAGCAGGAATTTCCGTGTACTCTGGAGTGAGACCCTGGGGATCTCAATACCAACACATAGTGGACTAGAGAGATGACTCAGCTGGTAAAGGCCAGGCTCACAGCCAAAAAGTTAAACACCAACTTATTTTTTCTCAATTTAAAACGTATGAAATCAGTTATATGGATAAAAACTGATCATCTCCATCTAACTAGTTCCCATCAACTAACAAGAACCTACTATAGTAGTAGTATTCTTACTAATTTCTAATCAGTAATTTTGATGTATATGCAATTCTTAGTACTTTGTTTGAGACAGGGTTTCTCTGTATAGCCCTGGCTGTCCTGGAACTTGCTTTATATATAGACCAGGCTGGCCTTGAACTCAGAGATCAACCTGCCTCTGCTTTCCAGGACTCTTGTGTGTCACCTGCCTATGGTTTTTGTTATTTTAGTTGGTCTTGGGGGTCTCAGTATTATAGCCCAGGCTGGCCTAGAATTCATGAACCTGGTGTCTCCACCTCCTGAGTGCTAGGATTATAGATGTGTGCCAACATGCCTGCTTATGCCAGTAGAGTTTGACTTCCCTGATGAATGAAGCAGAATGAAATTGAAAGTCAGTCTGCAGAGCTGACGGTCTTTCCATCCATCCTCTACCTTCTTGCTTCTGAACTTGGCCTGTCTTTTCTGGAGCTCTCATTTCTGCTGGTCTTGGAACATGGTAGTTAGGCTGCTGCTTTGCTGCCTCATACTTTCTTTCCTTCTGGCCTGTCCTTCCCCACAAAGACATCTCTGAGTCATTACTGTTCCCTTTCAGGACTCATAGAATCCTTTCCCAACACACAGACATATGATTTATTATTTTCATATGTATGTATATGTGCGGGAATTTATGTGTGGTGCACATGTGTGTGTAGGGGCCTGAGGAGGTTGGAAGAGGATGTGAGATTCCCTGGAACTGGAGTCACAAGTGGTGGTGAGCTAATGAAGAGTTTTGGAAGTGCAAGTGCTCTTAACTACTGAGCAGTCTCTCCAGCATTCTTATCACTTTGTTGTTGTTGTTGTTTCATTAAGACAGGGTCTCACAATACATTTCTGGCTGTCCTGGAACTCACTGTGTAGACCAGGTTGGCCTTGAATTTAGAGAGGTCCCCTGAGATCGCCTTCTGAGTGCTGGGATTAAAGGAATGTGCTACTGTGTCCAGCCACATCCCCTTTTTGGTGAGACCTTATTTAAAGCTGTCTTCCTACCTAATTCCTCTCCTTTACCTTTTTCCTTTGTAGCATGTACTACTTTCCAATGAAATTACTTGTGTAGCCGGGCAGTAGTGGTGCACGCCTTTAATCCCAGAGGCAGAGGTAGGAAGATCTCTGTGAATTCGAGGCCAGCCTGGTCTACTGAGCAAGCTCCAGAACAGCCAGGGCTATTACCCAGAGAAACCCTGTGTGTGTGTGTGTGTACAAAAAAGGGATTACTTGTGTATTCCTGAGATTTTCTTGTCAAGTTTTTTTTCTTTATCCCATCACTTAGGGAAGTAGGTGTCACATAATAAGTCATAGTAGATGTTTCTTTTGGAGTTTTTTGGTCATTTGTCTTTTGACCATGCTGCCTCCCCATCTCCCACCCTCCAGGACCAAGTCTGGTTTTGTAGCCCAAGCTGGCCTCAAACTCTGTCTTCTTGTAGCAAGCTGGGACGGCACCCACCTTACTGGACTTCCTCTCTTACACCACAGTGCCCTATTGGTCTTTTAATTGATGCAGTGTCTTTGTGTGCGGGAGCATACCTGTGTCATGGTGTATGCTGGAGGTCAAAGTTCGAGGCCAGCCTGGTCTACTGAGGAAAGGCGCAAAGCTACACAGAGAAACCCTGTCTCGGAAAAACCAAAAAAAAAAAAAAAAAAAAGATAAAATCTGTTTCCTGCAGCCTCCCCAAGAATCCATGGGATGCACCACTCCAATTTATATGGAAGTACACTGGCTACTAACTTTCCTTCTCTCCATACAGTATGCTCTGCATGTCTACAATGAGGTGATGAGCGTTGGACAGAAGTATGGAATCCGGAATGCTGGGTATTATGCTCTTCGAAGTCTCCGAATTGAGAAGTTTTTTGCCTTCTGGGGGCAAGACTTAAACACCCTCACCACTCCCCTGGAATGTGGAGGAGAGTCTCGAGTGAAGTTAGAGAAGGTATTATTTATCCATATCTCCGCCTCCTTGTGCCCCTCAGCTGAGCATGTGATTTGTCTTAATAGGAAGAAAGAGCAGGGAAGACAGGAAGTGTCAGTCAGGTAGATCATAAGGAAGAGTCCTCAGGACAGGAACCTTACCTGTGGGATGCACATCTTCCCCTGAATCCCAGAACCCTGACAACCCTTGTTTACACATTTGACTGCGCAGAAAGCGGAGGACACGGGCCTAAGTTTTTTAAGTTGATTGTAGTCATTCATTAACGTACCACAAGTATTTATCTAAATTAGTCACTACAGCCAGCTGCCTATTTTTTAATATATTTAAACTTTTAATTATGTGTATGCATGTGTGTTTGTGTGAGGTGTGTGCATTTGAGTGCAGCTGCCAAAAGAGGGCACTGGGAACTGTTGCAGGTCCTCTGCCAGAACTCAGGGACTCTTAACTTCTGAGCTCTCTCCAGCCCCGGTATTAGTTTTCAGAAAACTGTAGTTGAAGAGATTATTCTGTGAGGAGTCTTTCCCACCTCTGAACCTTATCCAGTGTCCTGTCCTCTTGGCTCCTCACACACAGCAGTGTGTTCTGTTCTAGAGTGTGAGCATGGCACAAGTATCCAGTGTATGATCTCCTCCACCCACCTGTAACCTAGTGCTGTTCACGTTGCACCTTACTTTATTTACGACACTGTATTCAAGCAGGTCCCTGTCAGTACACCTGTAGTTTGTTTTCTCTTTTCTGAGACAGGTCTCACTATGTAGTCCTAGCTGGCCTGGAACTTCTTATGTGGACCAGGCTGTTCTTGAACTCAGATCCACCAGCTTCTGCCTCCCGAGTGCTGGTTAAAGGTGTGTACCATCATGCCCAGCTGTAGTATTTTTGGCCACTGCATATAACTAGATGTAAAAAAATTACATGCAATTTTTTTGTGCTGTGAAAGTGTTAGTAGCTCATTAAAATCACCTGTATTTAATAGAGATAAACTGTTAAGTTTGTTCACCTATATAAGTATATGTATTGGGATATCCATACACATGGACTGACTTTGTGGAACTGGTTTTTTGCTGCCACCTTTACCTGGGTCCTGGGGCTCTAACTCAGGAATCAAAGCTTGCATGATGAGAGCATTTACCTGCTGAGCCTTCTTGACATCCCTCTAGCAAGTGTTCTTGATTAATTTTTCAGTTTTCTTTTCTAATACTTTTTGTTTCTTGTAGGCTTGTGATTGAAATCTGTTCACAGATGCATGCACTTTTGCTGTTATAAAAGTTCTTTGGAGCCGGGCGGTGGTGGCGCACGCCTTTAATCCCAGCACTCGGGAGGCAGAGCCAGGCGGATCTCTGTGAGTTCGAGGCCAGCCTGGGCTACCAAGTGAGCTCCAGGAAAGGCGCAAAGCTACGCAGAGAAACCCTGTCTCGAAAAACCAAAAAAAAAAAAAAAAAAAAAAAAAAAAAAAGTTCTTTGGTGTCTCTGTTGTGGATGCAGATTTTCACAATGCCACACTTACCCACTCTCTCTTCACCTTCGAATGCCAAGGGCCATCATGTAGACTGGTATCTGAGGCTTTTTCCCCTTGTTTCTTTGCAGGGCATAGATTTCATTGGTCGAGATGCCCTGCTGCAGCAGAAGCAGAATGGGGTATATAAGCGCCTTGCTATGTTCATCCTGGATGACCACGACACAGACCTCGACCTGTGGCCTTGGTGGGGAGAACCCATTTACCGGAATGGGAAGTATGCTGGCAAGACCACCAGTAGTGCCTATAGCTACACTCTCGAGCGCCACGTATGCCTGGGTTTTGTACACAATTTCTCTGAGGACAGTGGGGAAGAGCAGGTGGTGACAGCGGATTTCATCAACCGCGGAGAATACGAAATTGACATTGCAGGCCATCGGTTTCAGGCCAAGGCCAAGCTGTACCCTGTCACCTCCTTTTTCACTCACAAGCGTAGAAAGGATGATGTGGAGCTGAGTGACTTTCATGGGAAGTAATGCCAAGACCTTCTCCCTTCTCCCATTCTCTCACCATGAGGAGCGTTGTTCTGGGAGCTTCTCCCTCTGTCCCTGTCTCCTTACGGAAGGTTCCTTTGCCCTTCTCTTAACTTCTCAATTTGACCTACTTTAAACTTTTTCCTTGAAAGCCTTTTTGTCCTCCCATTTTCTTTTCATTTGCTGTTACCTCCTAACAATCCAGGTTCTTCTCATCCCGCCAGCAGGCCCACATTCCCACAGTGGAAGGCAGGAGCCACTTGTGGAGTTAAGGTGACAAACGGATTTTAAAATCATCTTGAGGCAGTCGGTATTATTTAAGTCTTAGGGCAAAAGTCCAGTTCCCTTGGGCTGCGATTCTTAGAGTAATCTAATTTTGGTAGATGACTGTGTGTCTCATGTAGCCCTGGGATACAGTAGCTTGTATCTTAAGCAGGCAGATGATTCTGTTCCACTGTGCTGTAGGTTCCACCTGATACCTCTTAACCATCTACCTCACCAATGAGAGGGATTACATGGACACTGTCTGCTCTGTGGAAGGGACAAGTACTTAACCTGGCCTCTCCAGGCCTCCAACTCTGTTCTTAGATGTTTGGGCCAGGGCAACCTGCCTGCAGTTTTCTTTATTTTCTGCTATTTTGTATAATGAGGTTGTCTTTTAGCTGAGTAAACGAGTATGCCAGTATTTGAAAGGGGTAGGGAATCCGTGTTGCCTTGTGTGTTGCTTTTCCCAGCGGGAGCAGTGTAAACTCAGATATTGAGTTCCTACTATTAGAAGAGTGTTGATTTTCTTTCAGTTACCCATAGGTCAGCTAGCTGTCCCTTCTTGATTTTCTTCAGATGGCTTCTAGCCTCACCTGTGCCTTGTGTAGCCTGCCTATGACCTCAACATTCATTCCTACCCCTTTAGAAGAGGGAGAGAGGATTAGGTGGGTAGTCTTGGGTGAGTAAGTAAACCATGCTGTTCATACTGCATTCCGAGAGCTACCAGAGCCTCAAGCTTTACATCCCTGGCATGAACAAAGCCACACATACAGAGGGCCATTGAGAGCTGTGAGTACAGTGCAGGCCAGAGACTGCTTTCCATCTTTTCTTTCCAGGCTCCCCACTCTAACCCCGCCCCGCAACAGAACCTTTGGAATGGAAAGGGACTGCGGTGCCCACCAAATGCACTACCTGTTCCAGGGTACTGCTGTTTTCTTTTTGAGATACGGATTCTCACTGGAGCTCAGGCTGGCCGCAGTCTCCTGAGTACTAGGATTTCAGGTGTGGTGACAGTGTTTTTTTTAAAGGTGAAACTTGGATGTGACAGGCTGTGCTGTAGAACACCAACACTTCATCTTCTCTTGTACACAGACTGCCCAGTCTGGATTTGAGAACCTTGCATTCAACTGCAGTTCTCAGTAACTTGGGCGCATTGGTTCTGCTAAATTTACATTAATAGAAACTTTGATTTCAGTAGTGCAGCTCAAAATTCTCAAGTGTCTCTTTGGCACTTCTGTAGAACCCATTATCCACTCAGACTGGTTCTTTTCCCACATTTCTTGCTATTTTCTCCAGGTAGGCCACTCGTACTTGGCTTCTGAGACGATTTTCATTGACTTATTAAAGGGCACACAATTAGAAGTTGATGTGAGGGGAAATTGCTACTTTGGAGGGAGTGTGTGTTTAGTGAGATGAGAACCACTGTCTCCAGGCAAAGGGAAGAAAGGAATAATACTCCAGTAGAAAGCTGAGCAAGGGGCTGGAGAGATGGCTCAGAGGTTAAGAGCACTGGCTGCTCTTCCAGAGGTCCTGAGTTCAGTTCCCAGCACCCACATGGTGACTCACAACCATCTGTAACGAGATCTGGTGCCCTCTTCTGTGTACATAATAAATAAATCTTAAAAAAAAAAAAAGAAAAAAGAAAAAAAGAAAGCCGAGCAAGGCAACAGCAGCAGTGAGCTGTTGAGATCCAGAGCAGGCCCTTGGCCAACCCATGAAGACGGAAGTAGAGATGCACAGCTCCAGGTATTTGTGCTCTTTGAAATATGGTGGTAACTTTCTGCAGTCTGGGAGTGAAGTTTACTTGGAATTGATTACAAAGGAAGTTTTTGACCTATGCATCGATAGTAAAACTTTGGCAGCAAACTTGTTCTTTAACTGTTGAAAGTGTTACCACTTAAGTTCCAAATGGGGGGGGACGACACCCTTCCAAAGCAGTAATAGTTTAAACTCATATTATTCAAGGATTTCAGCATAGACTAATTGCTGTCTGCACTGTTAATCTCTAGCTATTTAATTAACTGTCCCTTCTGAGTAGGAGGGCAAGTGCAAGTCTTCAGCTCGAAGTCCTAGCTGTGGCTGCTGTGAGCCTTTGAGCTGACAGACCGTGCTTGTCTCACAGGAAGGCATGAGAGGGAGAGGAGTGGAGCATTTTGAATGCCTGACCAGGGTCATGGTCCTGTTCCTTCAACTGTGCCACTTCTTTACTGTGTACCCCAAAACAAACTTACATTTGGTACTAACTGCTTCCTTAGAGTTTCTCTTGGTCCATGCAAACATAAACAATGCAAACCTGCCCCCCCCCCATTTTGCCCTGATAGAAGTGCTGTAAGTAGACTGTTCTCCTCCACTAACCCTGCAGCTTTTCCGAGGCTTGGTGTCATAAACACCTCAGACAGTCGAGGGGATCTGAACCCCTGGCCTACTAGTGTTGGGGGAGCTTTCTAGGCTCTCAGGAGTAAATGCAGGTTGTTAACAGAAATGCTAGGTCTAGAGCAGTGGCTCTTAACCTGTGGGTTGCAACCCCTTTGGGATCAAATGAACCTATCACAGAGGTTGCCTAAGATCATCGGAAAACACAGATTTACATTATGATTCACAACTAACAAAATTACATTTATGAATTGGCAATGAAAATAATTTTATGGTTGGGGGTCACCACGACATGAGGGAAGGGTCGAAGCATTAGGAAGGTTGAGAACCACTCGTCTAGAGGCATGATTGAAAATCCAGGAAGAGGGCTGGAGAGACGGCTCAGAGGTTAAGAGCACTGGCTGCTTGTCCGAGGTTCTGAATTCAATTCCCAGCAACCACATGGTGGCTCACAACCATCTGTAATGAGATCTGGTGCCCTCTTCTGGCCTGCAGGGATACATGGGGGAAGAACACTATATACATAATAAATATATCTTTAAAAGAAAAGAAAATCCAGGAAGAATAATCGGTGTGCGTCCTCACTTGTGTGACATTTCCAACTCTTGGACAGTGAGACTACCTTGTATGACAGGACGCTCGGGAGCTGGTTAGTGTTAAGGGATTGTAAACACTGCAGCTTTAGGTGACAGATTCTCTAGAATAATCTCTTGTCACATCTACTTTCCAGAGATGTTCTCTTCCTTGATTATAGTAGCAATTAAATCTCTTTGAACAAGGTCACAAAGTATATTGGAGACCTAAGGTTGGGAGTTTTCTGTGAGCCTTCTTGAAGTCAGAAAGCTTTCTTTCCTCTTAGCTGTTCATTACACGTGCAGAGCCTGCTGCTCAGTACTGCCGTAGTCATTGGAATAGACCAGGCTGTGACAGTTCCCTCCCACGACACAGGCACTGAACTTACAAAAGGACAAGCAGGAACGGTTTCGTTAGTCCTAATTGTGAGCACACCTCACTGAAATTTTAGTTCTTCCATGGGTCCCAGGGCCTCCTTAGTCCCAGGACACAGGATCATTTAACACAGCCTGGTCTCCAAGAGCCCGTTCATGCAGCAGTGGGGTGCAGCCCCTTCAACATGGCTTGTCTCCTCTACACCAGATGAATTCTAGACTGCTGGGCCCAACTAACTAGAGAGGAAATCCAATTTACAGATAGTGGGTGGCAGGACGGATTACAAGTAGCAGGACTGCTAAAGGTTTGCTTTGTTTTGCTGAAGACTCTCGGCTTTGATTTTCTAGTTGATTAGCTCCTAGCTTCTGAACACATTTGCTAGCATCTGAAAAGATCGTCACCACCCTGGGGAGAATGTTATGCCTTACAGTGTTGTACTAGCCTTGGGAGACTGTCAGGAAGAGCAGTTGCAGCATCCTGTTTGCAGGCTGAACGACAAGTTTCATTCTTATATCTCTTGTTGGCCAAAGGTAACAGATTTATAATATTTAGGACAATGAAAAATGACTGGTCATTTTTCATTTTCTGCATCCCAACACCCCCACCTCACAAATGTTGATAGGTAAGTAGCATCGTATTAACACAACACAGGTACATTTTCTTGTGGCTGAAGAATGTTCGTCTTGTACTGATATCTGTAGGCACATAGATTGAGGAGAAGCGAGTGCGCAGGGAAGCGTGTCTGAGCTGTAGCTACGCCCCGTGTTCCTGTCAGAAATGCTGAGGGAGCTGTGGGTCGGTTTGGGAGCACCTCTCCTCTGCCTCCATTTCTTTTGGTCTCCAAGGTGCTGATCTGTAAGCCCCCATTTTCTGGTCGATATGGGGCTTTCTCCTGCAGTTCCTCAACAGTACCAGCACACTGTTCAGCACAAAGATTGAGTGTTCGCACATCTCTCCTTCTCTTAGTGTGTTAAACATCAGCATTTTCTCTGTAGAAGACTCTTGCCTCTCTAAGCAGTTGTCTACATCTGAATGATTATACATTTTGCTCATATTTTGATTCACCTGTTTTTAATCTTTGCAAACATCTACCTCCTTGCCTTCTTGTCTGTGAAGGACAGATTACAAGAGGAGGGGGAGTTATCTTACCATGTTTCAAAAGATCCATGCCAGGATTTCCTTTGCACACCAAGAACTGAAGCTTGGAGTACTTCTCAGCCTAGTTCTAGTGCCTTACCCTCCAGATGTCCAGTAGTGGACTGTGGTAGGAAGAAAGCAGAGTGTTCAGTCTGGGTTCTCATCACCCCACATCAACCCTCCTTCCTCAGAATAATTTGGGTGTGGGGTAAAAAGTTCAGCTCATTTCACTGAAAGCTTTTCTAGTTCATACTTAACTCTCTGGTCAATGCTTAAGCTATATAAAACACCACTGTAATTTCTATGCAGTTCTGTAAATTTTCATTTAGTGTGGTTCTGCTCAGCGCTCTTCTGTTCCCGTGTAGTGTCAGCATGTGGTCCTGAAGACATTCTAGATACTGGAGTAAATAAGAAATTTTCTCAAGAGCAAACTCAGCTGACTTTGGACACATAGGATAACTATTTAATGGCCAGAATTATTTCTGGATGGCTAGATTTCAACTGAGATTTTCTTTTCATGTATTAGGTATATAAATGAATAAAAAGATGTTTTCATTAACTATTGCTATGTCCACTTGTGAAATGTCTTTTAACTTGGTTACAACATGCTATTTGCCTCCCTTCTCAAAGGCCAACAAAAAAAAAAAAAAAAAAAAACTGTTCATAAAACCATTTACACCTCTGATGCTAAGAGGTTTAGAATGAGCATGACCCACTACCACATACATGTAAGCAAATCCATGTTCATGCAAAAGAGGAGCAAAGGGCATGAGCCAGCTGATATCAACACTCTAAAATGATACAGGTGAAACCTTAATGGGCAGTTACACATGTCTTACGACACCCAGTCCCTGCCCAGTGGGATACAGTGCCTCTCACCATGCAGGCAGGCACAGGAGCCAACTTGAACAAATATACTGCTGGAAATGCTGAGCCTGATTCCTTAGAGGTCAGCTGATAACACCCTGGAAAATAAACCAGAAACTCATTGGTAAGTATTCTAAGAAGAAAAAATAGTCACCAAGAAATATAGGCATTCTCAAGATTTTACTTGAAATGTGGGGGGGGGGGGTCCCCTCAGAGAAGAATACTATTTTTTTAGGTAGTGGGCCTTTCCTCTCCATCAAATGAACTAGAAACTGGTTAAACTGCACGTGGTGGTGCAGGCCTGAAATCCCAGCACTAAGGAAGTGGTAAAGGCAGAAGGTTCAAGAATTCAAAGCTAGCTTGGGTTACATGTCTCCCAAATTTAAAAGAGAAAAAACTTACCAATTTAGAGAGCTATAAAATCTAAGAAAAAAATTATTTAAGAGAAACTAAAATGCTTTGAAATGACTTTCATTGTTTTAATTGTAGCCTTGCCTAATTGTCCCCTTCAAGGTGAAAACAAGTCTAGGAATGTCTTTAAAGACAGAAAAGTATAGCTGGGCATGGTGGTGCACCCCTTTAATCCCAGCATTCAGGAGGCAGGTGCAGATGGATCTCTGTGAATTCGAGGGTGGCCAGGGTTTTGTCTTGAAAAACAAAAGCAAAATACCCAACCAAACAACAACAAAGCCAACAGACCATAGAGTATAAATCACAATTATACACACCAAGGCATATGCTGGCTTATAATATACCATGTTGGGCTCTTGAATTTTATAAGACATTCATGTCCCTGCTAAGTACTAAATAGTTTAACTTAAAAAAAAAAATCTCTTCAAACAACTCAACATTTAATACAACAAACTTCTAAGGCCATCAGTTTTTCCCAAGTCTAAACATCGTTTTAAGAAATTTACATTTAATTTTGTACACACAGTGTATATGTGGAAGTCAGTGGACAAATTACCAGTTCTTTCCTACCATGAGGGTCCTTGGGGATCAAACTTGGGTCCTCAGGCTTGGTGGCAAGCACCGTTTGCTAAACCAGCTCACCAGTTTACCTTAACCAGAGGCCAGATTAAGGACACACCCAGATTGTCCCACAAACCTGAGAGCTACTTATCTTTTGGGGGACCTAACTGGATCAAAACTTGTACCCAGACTTAGTTGCATATATCTGTAACCCCAACGTCTGGGAGGTAGCTAGGAGTTTAAGGACACTTTCAACTGTATAGGGAATTGGGGGCTACCTTATGTTTTTGTTTGTTTTTTTGAGACAGGGTTTTACTGTGTAGCCCTGGCTGTCCTGGAACTCACTCTGTAGCCCAGGCTGGCCTCAAACTCATCTGCCTGCCTCTGCCTCCTGAGTGCTGGGATTAAGGATGTTCGCCACCATTGCCCGGCCAGACTCTGTTTTAAATAAAGTTATAGCTGAGAGTGGGCAGTGTTCACCTTCATCCCAGCACTCTGGAGGCAGAGGCAGGAGGATCTCTGAGTTTTGAGATCTACAGAGCTAGTTCCAGGACAGCCAGGGCCATCTTGAAACAATAAAATTGTATCCCAAACCAACCCATCAGCTACAGCTGCACACAACTCTTGGAAAGCATTAGCTCTATATACATCAACCCCTGACCCTCCCAGAGGACTACCCACTCCCTGATCTCTTTCCTTGTAGTCTCCCCAACTTTGCATTAGTCTCTGACCCTACATCTCATGGTTACCAAAATTCATGCTCTCTTTGTAGTCAATAGGTTTTTACCATTTCAGAATTACAGCTATTTTAAAGCATAAAGCAAAGGCACCAAGCTTTGAATTGAATCTGTACACATTTATGTTGCCTCGGCACTAGTGTGTGTATAAAAACAGAGACTTGTCTTGGGGTTGGTGATTGACCCCAGGGCCCTGCATGTGCTAAACACACATTCTACCAATTAGCTACACTCAAGTCCTTGATGGATGTTCTCACAAGCCAATCTCATTGTCCTTTGAGTTTTAAGGTTCCATGTTCCTAGTTGTTTTTTAGGATGGATACAGAAATAATGCCCCATACAGATGCTTTCTGGCAACTGCTTCCCTTTGGGCATAGCTTTGATTGTGTTTGTTTCCTAATGGTCCAGCTTACATGACTGCATAAGAGCCAGTGATCACCTCTTGGTGGTCACAAATGTTACTTACCTAGGGTAACTTGTATGGGCTTGTTTTAATCTCACCAACTGGGACTGAAGACATAGTTCTGTGAAAAGGACTTGCCTACCATTCTAAGACTCTTGAGTTTCATGTCTGGCACTACAAAAACCTACACAAAGTAAACATTAAGCATCTGAACTCCCACTGTCCCGACTCTGGCACACCTGCCCTGTGAAGGTGACTAATCTCAGCAGTTTCTGCTTTATTCTCCATTCCTTAAGGAAATGAAGGGATAAAGTGGATACTTGCATACTTTCTAATAAAATCACCACATGTGCACTCATTGTTTTCTTCATTTAATAGTTACCCCACAGGATGTTGGCCATCTGGTAGACCAATGTTTTCCCATTTTAGCTAAGATTTTCAAGGGCTTGTCCCCAAAAAATAATAAATAAAAAAACATCGACCCTCCAGAAACACTGTTAGGGATGTCTTTTGTGATGCCTGGATGGGTAATTTGGAGAGAAAACATCACAAGTTTTCATGGCCATCTTCATGTGTCTAGGCTTGCAAAATTTCTCTACAGGGGAGTAGGTGACGAAGTGACACCTGATGCTGAGTGGCAGAAGGTAGACACATGACCTGCTGTTTCCCTTCCACTCACTGCTACTGAATGGTTCTCCTTTCTAAGTTCCCAAAACGGCACGACCAATGCCAAGATTTGTCCTCAGTGGTTTCTCAAAACCAACAGTAAACCTTTGGGCACACTCAAGAGGACTGTGTGGAGAGATGGCTCTCAAGTTAAGAACATTTGCTGTTCTTATAACTGGATGTTTTGCCTGAATGTATTTCTTTCTTTCTTTTTTTTTTTTTTTTAACTAAGGATCAAACCCAGGACCTTGCGCTTGCTAGGCAAGAGCTCTACCACTGAGCTAAATCCCCACCCCGCCTGCATGTATTTCTGTGCATCCTGTGTGTGCCTTGTGCTCAAAGAGGCCAGAATGAGGGCATCAGATCCCCTGGGACTGCAGTTACGAACAGTTGTGAGTTGCTGTGGGGGTGCTGCGAACTGAACCCAGGTCCTCTGGAAGAGCAGCCATTGCTCTCAACCAATGAACTATCTGTTAGAATTCTGCCTTCACTCCAGCTACATGACTGTTCAGGAGTTAAGCAAAGGGCCTTGCGTCTTACGTTATCAGTGTGCACTGGTCACAATCTGAGCCTTAAAAAAGCTGGAAGCAGACCCCACCCTCTCTCTCTCCTGTTCTGCTCGGCTCTTACCCCACCATCTTAACTCCCTAGGCCTGGTCCTTTTGTCCCTCCTCCTAATAAAACTCTCCACTACTAAGCAACTGGGTTCTGTCGTGACCGTGACCTTTCCACCGGTAACCAGCGCCACCACCAGCGCCATTTATCATTTATTTCGCTGTCTTTCCAGCCTACACTTTCTGCTCTTAGAGAGGACCTAGGTTCAGGTCCCAGCACCCACGTTACCCTCTGTAAATCCAGTTCCAGGGGATCCATAACTTTTGACCTCTATAGGCACTAGACATTCACAGAGTGCACACACATACATGCAGGGAAAATGCTCATACTCACCCTTTTTATTTTTTCAAGACAGGGTTTTTCTGTGTAGCCAGGGCTATCCTGGAACTCTGTAGACCAGACTGGCCTTGAACTCAGAGATCTGCCTGCTTCTTCAGCTCCTGAGTGCTGGGATTAAAGGAATGTTCCACCAACGCCTAACTAACTCTACCCTTTATTTTTATTTTTATTTTTTTGTATGTTTCTATGTGTGAGGGAAGTGTGATAGGTTGGGGTGAGAGCTTGTATAGCCAGGCTCTGAGGCTCCTTAAGAGTCAGCATGTGAGCTGGGCGGTGGTGGCGCACGCCTTTAATCCCAGCACTCGGGAGGCAGAGCCAGGCGGATCTCTGTGAGTTCGAGTTCGAGGCCAGCCTGGGCTACCAAGTGAGTTCCAGGAAAGGCGCAAAGCTACATAGAGAAACCCTGTCTCGAAAAACAAAACAAACAAACAAAAAAGAGTCAGCATGTGGTGGTGCAAACCTTTAATCCCAGCTCTCGGGAGGCAGAGGGAGTCAGATCTCGGAGTTCAAAGCCAGCCTGGTCTACAAAGCAAGTTCTAGGACAGACTCCAAAGCTACACAGAGAAACCCTGTCTCAAAACGGAAAAAAAAAAAGTCAGCATGTTCCAAAAGAAAAGAAACATCCATCTGGGAGGGAAGCTCAAGACTCAGGAGGTTCTAAAGGGAGGCTCAGTAACACTCAGGAACTAAACAATTCAAAGACCCCAAGAAGACCTTGAAACTGGCCAGACACACAAGGCTCCTACCTCCCCGAGGATGTATTAGCAATAAGGCCACTGCAGAGACACAGACCAGCTGCTGAGTTGCCCGAAGAGACTCTCCAACCTGTCCCGGTGCCTGTAAGCTGTGTGGTGGGCCCGAGACTCTACCTTGTTATACAGGAGCTAACTCCTGGTCCTCCTGGCCTCCACTCCCAGTGCTGTGCTACTGTGAGACCGAAATGAGCCATCTTAGAAATAAGACCA